ACTTCACCGTCCGAATGAACGAGTGGGCCGTGGGGACGGCGGGCTATCCGTCCCGCCCACCGTCCGGGCCGGACTGGACGATATCGCACCCTGGATTATTGTTTGGTAGTTTTCCAGGTGTCTATGGGAGAGTATCAAGTGAACAAAGTAGATACTATCTAGGAACATTCTGGAACCCGAAATCGCAAGAAAAGTATCTAAACAGCAAACAAAAGCCCAGCTATTCTCCCCGATTTTAAGGAACTCCTATCAAGTCAGCCAATGCAGATCTTAACGATTCCTTTCCATTTAGCCGATAGCATATTTTCGCCGTGGCCAAGCAGTACCCTCCTGGCTATCAGTCGTCTTTGATACACACAATGCAGTACATTTTCGCTATCCATTGCCTCAGTAAGGTTTTCGGGTACGCTTACAGCGCCTACCGCCGCAAGCGCTTCACCAGTGGCCAGATGGTGAGGGAACAAAAGAACGTTGCAGCGGAACGTACCCTCCTGCTCGAAGGCGTCGGCAATCCTCAGCATCGCGTCTTCCTTCGGGAGCGAGATGTGCCAGAACCGTTCCGCGCCCAGCTCGCGGGCGTCAAATACATAAGAAGCATACTCGGCGACAAGACCACGCGGCGAAACACAGGCCTCAGTTTCGTTGATCGTCAGGCTCAAGCCACCTCGCGCTGTCATAAAAGTCCGCGGCGCCCAACGCAGCCCGGGTTCCGTCATTTTTGCACCGCTCGCAAAGAGAATGTTACGAGGCACGGCGCCCACCGCCTCGAGCAGCTTCGCAAACCGCCGCTCGCTCTTATCTTCTGCGAGCAGCGCCAACGGGTCTATGCCCAGCAGGCTTGCGATTGCCAGCGTCTCATCAGATGGCCGGCTTGTGGTGCGCCACCGCAGAGCGCGTGCGACGTCGCCGATGCTGAAGTAACTGTCATTTTGCTTCTTCTTCAAAATCCTGTAGATGACACTCGACAGGCCGCTTAACACCGAGCTCAGTGCGAGCTGCCCGACCCGCGAGATGAGCTCTGGAGCTGGCATCGAGACGTCCTGGAAGCGGAAAAGTAACTCGCGGGATAGAGCGCCCTCCTGGAGGGTCCAGAGTCGTCGCATCCAGCCTGACGACAGGGCACAAAGGAGACGGTCTTCGACTGGAGCGGAGAACGGCAATCTTTGTATGCTTTCATCCAGGATGAGGACCTTTTGTGCATCTGAATATGTCAATGCCATTAGGCCGATTGCGCTTCGTCTTGGCCCCTTCTCGGATGGCACGCAAAGAGAGTCTATCCAAAAAGCTCCTCCGGGTATGAGTTCTGTGGCCAGATTTGAGAGCCGGCGAACCTGGCATAAGGGGAGCCCTTTCTCGGTTGTGCTGCCTAAACCGTCGGACCAGACATGAGAGATAGCAATATAGGCTTTGTTGCGAAAGCTGTCCACGGAAAAAGATGGTTGTTCCCACGGGCTAAGGTCTTGGAAGGTAATGACCGGCACGTAATTCTGGCTAATGAGGGTTTTAACGTCTGCGAGCGGTGGCCTTATCCATTCGCAGTTGCATCCAGGATCAGTGTGCTTTGCCTCATACTGTTCTGGGTCGATGATGCTTGCTTCGCACCTCTCAATTCTACAGCCGGTGTGGCTCTTCGAATCGAACGCCCTCTTCTGAACGGCAGAAACAATACTTGTCAATGTGGCAGAATCTATGAGGTATCCAATAGTGGAGGGACACCATCCATTCTTGTTGGCCATTCCGTCCAGCTGGTCTCGGTAAAGGTGCAGAATAAAATTCCAAGAATTCGGGCCCGGGCCACTCAGTGGAGCCAAATTCTGCACATGCGTACGTGCGGAATAAAGCCCATTTCTGGCTACGGTAACTGCCTCTCCGATAGTAGCTATCCCCATCAAGATTGATGGTTGCCAGTGTCCTGCAATAGGATGACTGAATATCCGCAGGTCAATCAGCGTATGGAGAAGCCTCATCATCTGGTTGAGGGTTCTGTTTATGTTGGCCGAGTACTCGCGTTTTCCGTCATCGCTAGCGGCAGCCATTTGATCGAAGCAACGTCGCAGTATGAGCGGCAGACTGGCGTGAGTCATTATCATGATGTTTTCGGCATCCTTAATAATCATATCGGCCTCAGTTACTTGTGTTTTGGTGACAACTTCGAGCACTCCAAGCGTTAAGAGAGACTGGTATATAGCTGCAGATGGCCATGAAGACTTGTTTGTAGATCTGATGGAAAGGTAGTCATCCAGATTCGATGCTAGAGGATATCCATCATGTTTGAAGCCAAGCCATCTTGGCGCATCGAAGAGAGTCGCCATTGCTGGTGAAGACATAAAATATTTCTATTTTACTCAATTCTCATAAAGTTCGGGTTTGAAGAAAGGATTTGTAGTGCTTTGACGCGTTTGGGCTCAGTTGTGGGGCGTGAGATTTGTACAATATGTGAGGCTGAAACAAAGCCTTCGGCGCAAGAAGTGCCGACGCTCGTCTGACATGCATAAATACGAGTGGTGTGCGATCTGATCCACCATATACCAGTAGGCTGTCGCTTCTTATTGGATGGCCACTATACTTTGATAATTCTAACTAACCGACGTTCCCACGAATGAGATCAAGCCACGTTCCGATTGAGCCTTACAAGGCATTCAACATCCAGTCAAAAGAAAACCTTTCAGTGATTTGCTACACCATATAGGATAGCAATTCGTTAATTTTATCCACTGTCCAGAAACATGTCCACACTCCCTCGAAGCAATACTCCGGTCCATCAGCAGAATCTGTCTGAAGTCGACTCCACCAGAATCAACCCTTCCGTCCGATTTGCAAAGTTCGAGAACGGTCGATTGAAATATATACGGGCGCATACAAAAGAGCTAAGCTTCATTGCGATCTCGCATGTTTGGGGTGCAGACACACAGTGGTGTGAGGTGAACTGCTTGGATTTCACCATTCAGGCATCAGCAAGGAAAGTCGAGTTCATCAACGAAAGACTGCCCGAACTGGTAGGAGGTGCACCGTTTTGGATGGACATCTTGACAATCAACCAGACAGATAAGGATGAGAAGATAGCAACTATCAAAGCTATCCCGGCTATTTTCCGTGATGCTGAGAAAACCATTGCAGTGAAGGAGAATGACGGTATCTACGGCTGCTGCATATGCCTGGCTGAAAAGCTACAGACAGGTTCTGCATTGAGCCAGCTTCAGGAACACGTAGCCGAGAGCCATGCAAACTACGTGTGCGAAGAATCATATCTACAACGTCTTTGGACTCTGCAGGAGATTTTGCTCTCTGGAACCGTTCAATTTGTTCCAATAAATGATCGTAAGTTTGCCACGAGCTATCCTTAGCTAAATCTCCTTATTAATTGTTAAGGTCCGCCTCAAATATGCCAGGGAGAGATCATTAATCCCCATAGATCTCAAGCAACCGCGCAGCGTATCGCTTGGGCACTTGATTACCTCGACACCGCCTTCCGGGACTCTGTGATTCCTGCAGCGGAAATACTCACGAAGGCGTACCTCTCCAACGGCATCGCAAAATGGCCAAGACGCCAACCAACCGAACATGAGGACATCTTCTCTGGCCACTTTGTGACTATGTTCCGCACTTCCCCTCGAGCCACCACCAGGGTTCGAGACTATTTCCTCGCTACAATGACGCGATTTGACTGGTATCATGTCCCCGTTAGCGTTGCAAAGATGGGGTTCAACGATCTGTTCTTGGATTTGTACGAACAGTCCTGGCGTGCTGGTCATGGATTTGGACCTAAGATTTTGGCTTCAATGACAACTGGAAAAGATTTCTCCGGCGATCCGAACAAAGCATGGGGCCCTAGCCCAGATCAGCCTATTCCGTGTTGCTTGGGGGATTTTCTCAAACTAATTGGCTGGAAACAAACTGTCCACCAGTATCATTTCGTCACCGAGGCCTTCGTTACTCCGGTTTGCACAAACAGTAGCCAATATGACGGTGAAATTCTCGGACTCATTGAAAGCTCTATGCGAGTTGCTGAAACGGCATGGAATGGCAGCCGTTCCAGTGGTGAGTTTGACAAACATGGCTCCTCTCCCGAAGACTGGGCGTCAGCCGATGTGAGCGAAGTCAAGGAGCCAAATGCTACACCAACTGAAATCAGCGGTCGATGTATGAAATTGCTCTCTCTCATGTTTGGGAAGATAAAAGACAACAGTTCATGCTCGCCAGCGCAGGAAGTGATAGGGCTGCTTAAAAGGCCGATGAGCCAGGAGGAACAGGAAACTCTATCCATGATGACTGCTGTAGTCACCTGCAGCATCCCTCTATCAGCCGTGGAGTGGGCAAGGGACCATTTCGTTCCCGTGCACGTTCAGATCTACGAGTTCAGCTTTCTTGCGCTTCTCGCTCGGCACCATTTGCCTGATAGAATTGGCGCAGACACCGTCAATTCGAATGCACGTACAAAGATGCACGTCTTTGGTCGAAATTTGGTTTTTGGGGCTGTTTTCGAAAACAATCCCGGAAGAGACCTTGTCCTTGTATCTCCTGGTTCCAAAGTCCCGACTGGGATCCTTCCCGAGTTTAATGGCCCCGGGATTAGACTTGAAGAGGGTGCGCGAAGGGTCAAGATACTCTACCAAAACGGATTAATAGTGTACGAACCGATCGAAGGATCAAAGATAAGGCAAACAAGGTATAACAACCTAGAGTCCGCGGCGATACAAGATACCGATCGTTTCCGGATATGGTAGTATAAGTACAGGAGTTATATGTTCAATTTGGTAAGACATTCTCAAACAGAGTTTCTAACTTAACGTTATAAGTATTTATTAATTAGATCCATGCCTTGTTCCTCTACAAGATCGTTCTCGTAACAATATTCCTTTCTTTAGCTTCATTTTAAGGATGTTGCTTACATACAAGAGAGTACATCTACCCGCCTTCCCTAGACTTACCTTCTCATACGGGATTCTTGCATGTGCAGCTTTACAGGTAATAAGAGATCTCAGTTTCTTTACCACAGTTTCTTTACTAAAATTTCTTTAGCGCTACGTTCCATACTGGTCTTTTGCTCATAGCACCAGGAACCACTTCTCTTAGGATTTCGATAACAGTTTAGTAGTCTCTTATTAGCTAAGTTTTCAGCTACGCTCATCATACCTTTACGTAGGCAGTAGGTATTAGGGTCAGTATTCTATTTACACTGTTTCTATCAAGATAACCTTCTAAGGGCCTCGTATAACTACTATATTGCTATAACCGTTTCAGTTTCGTAGCATTCTATTTGTGGTATTCCCGGATCGCCACGTTTGTTTTCATTATCCCATGTTCAGCTGAATACTTTTACGGTGCATTAGCATACGCGCTACATCTTTGCTGCAAGCAGACATGGCGCAAAAGAGATTCGTAAAAGAGAGGGAATTGTTTTTGGGCTCTAATTGAGAAACCAGGATTCTGCTTCTAACAAGCTCAACAAGGCTGCCAAGAAAACTCCACTGGTCAACCGAAAAGGTCTCGTAGTGGGTACCACAATGCCGGGTCTGCTGTTACATTGCATGAGGGCTAGCTGTATTATGGGTATACCTATGGGGAATTAACAGTTTCCACGAGTACCTGCATGCTTATCTCCTGTCCACGGCTGAGGTAGAGCCGGGAGCCTTAAGCATTCTATTTTTCTCCCTCTGGTTTGTGGCTCATACTTAGCCAACCAATATCACGCAGGGCTTACAGGGCCCTGACCGGTACTCAAGAAATCGCATTTAGCCTTGCGCTAGTCCGCCTCGATATTCGCAATTGGAGTGCATCACGTAGGAGGAATATTCGCGCAACAAAAAAGGAACTCGTCAGCCCGAGAACATCTCACTTTTTGCATGAATGCAAACGTGGCACTCGGACTTTTCGTCTCGCTACTTTGCGTGGCTCCGGCATTGGCATTTTGGTTGGAAGTAATGCTGATCTCTTTAAGTGAACCCCGTGTATTCGAATAGGTAGCAATGCGCGATTATCTAGGATTCAGCTTTCATTGTATTGGCTGTGAACTAGCCACGCAATCTTGGTGGCGTTTTTAGTATTCTCCGATAGTCCACCTTCGCAGGCAATCACATTGCGCAGCCACATATGTGGGCCAGTCTCTACTGCTCCGCCACCCCACGAAAAGACAAGACAACATTTTCGGCTGTTGCCTGCATCTAGGTTTGATATTTAAATTTCTTTCTTTCTCATTTAATGTTTGCTGTCGCTCAACAAAGCTGCCCCCTGGCATCTACCGAAGGAAACCCGTCCTCCTTTCTATCTTCGCATTCCTCTCTTTGAATTTTTAATCCGACATTATTCAATCATACCTCTTCCAGCCACAATGGATCACATCCCAAAGCCAGCTCATCCGGTTCGGGAACGGCTTAAAGTCCCTCTGCTCAGCCTCCAAAATTACGACGGTTACGGAGATATCATGAATTATCCAGAAAGTCAAGACTGGACACCTCGACCTTACCGAGAATGGATGAGACTGTTTCAAAACCCACCAGAACATTTCCAGGCATTTATACAGCGCTGGCTCTATTTTGGGACCTTGCAAACAGTTCTCAGCTGCCATGTCGACGTGCTTCGAGACTTCGCAGTTTGGGTACCAGGGAATGAAATCCCGTTCCTGACCACTCGTCGCCTCATGGAATTACTTGAAAATGCTCGCAACTTTCACGGAATCACCCAGATGGCAAAAGGGATTGATCTGATAATATTCGCCGTGGCCAAGGAATTCGGAAACATTAAGAACCATGTTTATCCTCCGGATCCTGAGCAAGTACTACACTTATCACATGCTATCCGACAGGGTCAAATGTCGATCGCTCTTGATTCCAGAATCTCTGCAAGCATGCTTATATTAACCGAATTGCTCCCGGATGCGCTCTCATACGCTTATATTGATCGCACGACACAAATGAGCTCGAGGGAACAGTACGAAGGACGTATGAAATTGGTCCAGGAGATCCAAGGTTCAAAAACCGGTGCGGCCCTCGGCGACAGCTTCTTCTGGAGAATTCTAAGGGAAACTGGATGGTGTCCTTTTGAGGTATCATTCATGTTCGCGCGATTTAACGTCTGCGGGCTTTTATTCGCGTATGAGCTTGCTCGTCCAGGCCCTTCACAGACACACAACGTTATAAGAATTCGAAGCCACCAAGCTGGTCGACGTGTTTGCCAGCCTCCTGACTACCAGTCGCTATGTACGTCGTATACTTGCGTGCACAGGGTACTAGAAAAAAACACGTATAGCACGGCCCATGTAAAAGGTTGTCATGGTTGTCACGACGTGTCGGCCGACACTGGGGAACTTTGCAGCATCCTGGAAAACGAAACAATTCCTCTTATCCTATCTATTGATGAGAACGACATCTCAGATAAAATTCACTTAGTGCCCTGGGACGGGGATTCTTCTTACGTGGCGATATCTCACGTTTGGTCTGATGGGCTTGGAAATGTCCGCGACAACTCACTGCCGCATTGCCAACTCAAACGACTAAGTACAATGGTCCGCAATCTAGTCGGCAAGGCTTCCAATACTGTACTACTATGGTTGGATACGATTTGTGTCCCTCAATTCCAAGGAGCTCCGAGCCTGGAACAAAAGGCGGCGAAAAGGCTCGCAATCAAGAAAATGAGACGAACGTATCAAGACTGTAAAGCCGCCCTCGTTCTTGACTCTTGGCTTCTCTCAACTTCCAGCGGAGATATCCCTAACTATGAGATTTTAATGCGCGTGTTCTCATGTGCTTGGAACTCTCGTCTGTGGACATACCAAGAAGGAGCTCTCCCACCGACTGTCTACTTCCACTTCGCAGACAAAGCACATGATCTCGATGCTCTTATAAAGCCCTTTTCATCTTCATTGGGAATGGGGATGTACTGCACTCTAGGTGGCCGGTTGATTCGGCAATATAACAACTTGCGACACTTTCGAAAAATCACTGAGAGCAAAGCCAACCAACTTGCGTCCGTCATAAACGCCATGAACTGTCGCACTACATCAGTGTCAACGGACGAGGCGATATGCCTTGGGACGCTTTTAGAGCTCGATTTAGCAAAAATCTTGGACGAAAAAAATCCGAAGAACAGGATGCAGGCCTTTTGGAAGCAGCTCAAAGAAATACCTGGAGATGTCTTGCAGTACAGTGGGCCAAAGCTGGATACGCAAGGGCTAGGCTGGGCCCCTCAGTCACTTTTGCTCTCTCGAGACCATGAAGCACCGGAAACACCGGATATTCCAGTAATACTCGATAGCAACTGGTCCAGCAAGTCGTTAACCCGAACTGATAACGGACTAATACTGGAATCAAGAGCAACCGTCATCAACTGCGGGCATTGCCGCCTTGGCAGAACCTTCTCTGTTAAGGACCAAGATGGGTTCTGGTCCGAATATCAGATTTACTATGATCACCCTCTGAAGACAAAAGGATACTATTCTGAAAAAAACTGCTATATTGTACCCCATCAGTTCTACGGAGATGGTCAAGTTGCGGTTTTGTTTGTGGATGTATACTCTTCAAATAATCATGAAAGGGCGACATCTTCCGCGGACCTTGGATATCTGGTAGTGATGAAAGAGGAGTCTACAGAAGCAAAATTTGTTGAAAAGGTGGGCGTCGCTATTTTGCGTCGGCTAGATGATTTTCGGGACCAGCACGATTTGTCGAGCCTGCGAAAACTATGTCCTTTCCAGTACTCATTTGAGGCGGAGCAATATGTTCATGATAAGTACAAGGGTCACTTGCTTTTTGGGTTTCAAGACTTGGAATACCGGAAGTGGGTTATTACATAGGGAGAGCTAGTGGGTTTTCAGCATCTTGAAGACTTTAAACCCTAAGTCTACCCTTCTATCACCTCATGACTCCGATTTCGCTACTACTCAACTCATTGAAGATTTAGACAGCCTCGTTATAGTGGGAATTTATTTTGTTTTATAACCGTCAGACTTCAGCTCGGCAAATTCTTTGGTGTCCTTTGAATTCCAAGAATCATACTCAGATCTGCTTAAATCCAGACCTGCTCCGTTCCAGTGTGTTCAGACACCATAGATAGCATTCCCAATGCGCACCGTTTCATGGTGGTAGTATGGCGCCATTTTGCCGGCTTTAGGTTTTGTCTGTTCGTTGACTTCAGGTTCTGCCGCTTCCTTCAGTAGAAGACTTTCTTCTGGATGCTCCTCGTACTGCCACGAGTCTTAGATGACAAGCTCGTCGCCGGGCCCGCAAGGCACGTTCCTCAGCTACCATCCGACGGTCGGCGAAACGGATCCTTCATAAATACGCCATGCGGTACCTGATCGCATGATACGGAGCGAATCCTGCACAAATCATAACCAGCGACGTGGGAGCCCAAGGCTTTCGCCTGCGCCGCACTCGTCGCAAAATAGTGTGCGGACAAGGAGCTGCCCGCACGGTGCGTCCTTGACGAAAAGAACCAACGATGCCCGCTTTATTGGTAGCGCGGTGGGTACGTAGATAGTTAAGAGCCGATGAATTTTGTGGGTTTTGAGCTGATTTAGACTTGAGAGGAGGAAAGAGATAGCTGCCTGAACACCCTCTTGTTTGCTGTCGTCCTACTAAGTTTAAGCGGCAGAAAAGTTTAGTCGCCAGAAATTAGGAGAAATAAGGTGATTCTTTCGAACGGGTATGGTAAAGCTGGCAAAAGTAAGGCCTTTCAGTGGCTCACGGGCTACAGAGGAAAATTTTATAATGACTACTTCAAATATATCGGTCCTTTAGCCACTTCTTCTAATATATCTAAAAGCTCGATAATAAGATTCTACTATGCGTACTCTATTAGCTTCTAGTTTTTATTCTGGAATAATAGATGTTTAAGTATATAAATTATTCTCGAAGTATAGGGCTTCTGGTAGGAACTAGTTTTTAATACATAACTATTACTTATGATAATTATCCTTTATCGAAATATTCAGTTTGATACATTTATTTATTTAGTAAATAATGCCATGCATCTTTTGCGTTGTAAGTTTACTAGATTTCAAGACTTAGAATTTTATAATTTATGAATATTTGAACGACTACATCTTGCGCGGGAAGTTTATACTACCATCCATGTCACACCGAATTAAACCCCGAGAAACCCTATAACTCTTTGTTAGGATCTCTATACCGTGTTCAAGGGGCACGATTGGCAGTATGTGTCTATGTCGCCAGCTCCACTCGGGATGAACTCAATAATGCCGGAGATAATTACTTTCTCTATAAATCGAACGTCTTAGCCGCCAGCTATCTTTTCCGGTCCACCAATCGAAGCAGTCATGTTCCGCGATTCTTTAAATACCTCGTTGAACCCATCGGGAAGTTTCAGATAGGACACTCTGTGGAACTTCCCTAGTCCGTGCTCTTGTATGAGCAGCGCAATTTCCAGAAGTCGTCTCCGGCCCAAACGCTCACGCCAGTCCCGCGAGTCGTCATCACTATCGCTATCAGGTGTGTCTAGGGACGTCAAGGCACCTATACCTACCTGCTTGCCTAGAAAGACAGCCATAGTGTTGGAAATCGAGGACCCTGTCGTTCGCTTCGCGTTATCGGATTCCTGCCACACCGAACCATCCTCAGCGTTAACATAGGTATCTTCTACATTTTCACCAGAGTGCGCTGTCGTCACAGCAACGACTACAGGAGAAAGTCTCACGGCCTTGACACAGAACGTTAAGTAGCCGTCTTCGTCCATCGTTCCCTCTGGAAGCCCTATTAGGTAGTGATTAATATCACAAAGTTCATCTACAACGCCCGCCACAAGCTTTCCGGATGCGTTTGACGGCAGACCACAGCTTGAGTATTCGGCGTCGGTATAGATAGCTTTGCCGTTGACGCTGGTATCCGGAAGCAATGGGAAGGAAGAGATCTGGCGACATGGTTCGAGCTGGTAAGCAGTTGTTAGCCAGCTTGCCTTCGACCCCACATAAGATATCTTCTTGTTGGCCAAGGCGATGGCAGCCTTCAGGCGATCATTTTTATCGAAATGAACCGGGTCCAGGTCAACGGAGAGTAGGCCCATGATGCTGAAGACCATGTCTACGGGGCGGGATGAAGTTCTCATCAAGGCGCAGCGCCATATCATCTGTTCCTTCATTTCCTTCTCAACGTAAGAATGCGAGACTTGGAGGACGATGGCGCCATAAAGCGCCGCGATAGGTGCTCGCTTGCGGCCAAAGACGCTGATGGGAAAGTCGCTGGATGCCAAGGCTAGTTTCAGTAGAGGGCGAAGCTCACCGTATGCAGAAAGTCCTGAGAAGAGCTCAGTGATGCAAGACGGTATTATTGCTTGCTCCATCACTAGCTCCAGCTGCTCGAGTCGGTCCTCATCTGCAAGGAAAAGGACGATAGATCTATACGGGACGATCACCTCCTGGAGCGTCCATGCCCGCTCGATCCATGTGGTCTCTTCTTCAAGACTGACCAACCGCTGCATACCTCCAGGCAGTACGCAGCAGATCTTACAGCGCTTGTAGATATCGAACATCTCTCTGATCTGCCATGCCTTGTCTTTCTTGGATGTCTGGACAATGCAGAGGCGATCGAGCCAGAGGTGCGACCCGCTGTACTGGCATGAAAGTGCAGCAGAGCATATGTGGTGGAGGACGTCAAGACTGATAGGGTCACCATCCTCAGCGCCTTTGACGGAGAAAGCGCCAAGCTCTTCGACCCAATACGAAGGTCTGGACGGATCTGCAACAAGCAGATTGCCTTTCCAGACGTAAGACACAACGACGTAGGCACTACAGCTCAGGCTGGAGTGGTATTCGTAAATATCGAGGCGGCGATCATTCAAAAAAGTGCCCATGTCTACGAGTCGGAGGCGACCCGCAGTAGCTGTAGGACTCGGGTCAACGACGGTGTCTCTGATATTGGCAAAACCAGAGGAAAAAATAAGTTTTGGCTCTACGGCCAACTCTGGAGAATCAGAGATCTCATCTGAACACGAGCTCATTCTTTAGGAAATTTTTAGAGAGTATCACCCTGAGCCTTGATTTGATTTATGCGAGGGTATTGCATGGGCGTAGGGCGATTGTTTAAGACTTCTAAAGACGATAAGCGCTCTTATGTGGTTGGGAAACAAACTAGTAAAAGTAGTCTGGTCCATTTATAACAATCGGCGACTTTCTGAACCCTAGCATAGAGCGTAAAGCGGGTGTGGGGAAGATGTGCATACAATATGTAGTACGCCTGCTGCTGCCTAATTTTATTTTAGCGTGTTACTGTATATGGAGCATGTGGGGCTGATACCCGACTACATATCGGATCTAACGGACACGTGTAGCCACACATCGGCTAGTGTGTTACACATAATGTTTTATAAGCGCTCGGCCGCCCCGTGATCGGCTTCCTCGCTGATAGCATCCAGAACTCATTCCGAAGCCGCCGTTGGAAGTGTGCCGATTTTCTCGAGAAGTACGACCGACCTTTTGAAATCCTCCAGGGAGCAATTTAATATGGGTTTCGTACGGTATAAGAGGGTATACACTAATTTTGGAAGATTAGTTCAAGCAATTTGAGAGAGGAATCAGTACGATCGCAGAGATTCTTTCACAACACGCGCAACTCCTGTCAAGGACGATGATACTAAGTTCTACTGACCTTGCATAGAACTCTGGCTTGGTCGAAGCCAGTAGGTATCAAACGTTTTGCAGAACCGAACAAATGTTTGCAGGGTTTGTGTTATAGTGCTTCGGAGGGTGCTACTATGCTCATTCTGGAAAGAAGTATTGCACACCAAAGAAAGGTTCGGGTAAATATGCGTACTATTTGGGGTTTGTAACGCCATGAAGTCAAGTGATACACCATTGCTGATCCCTCTTAGTAGAACATCCGCGTAAAGCTTGTAGCCCTGTGCTTCCGTCTCTCCCAGAAAGCTCGCTTGCAGATTGGGGCGTCACCGTACCGTGGCCGAGGATTGCTACGCAGAAGCACATCCCGGCTTCTAGAACCCTCTCAGATTCTAGAGCCACGATCGCGACATCGGAACAGATATCAGTCTTGAAAATCAATGCACAACGCTCCACGGGGCCGATGGTCAGTGGTGAGCTATCAGACAAGGCCAGCGACAACCGGTATAGGCTCCCTTCACCTGTATCGAGGAGCGCGGTCTCGCGCGCAAAAGTGACGGGTCCCATGTCCTCGAAGAGGAAACCGGGGTGCTCGATGTGGAGTCCGTCGTCCTCACATTTCCCGAGCAAAGGCAAGGGAGGATCCGCAAACCTCATTGCGGATAGCGCGATATTGATCTCCATGGGCCGATCCAGCGACAATAGTGACCTAGGAGCCCACCGATACGGGGCGCTAGTGATATTCCTGGAAAGAAAGTCCGGTAACCCGAATTCTGCGAAGACTATGGCAGTTGGGATCTCGTGGAGCAGTCGATAAAACTTCATCATGCGTTCGTCGACACCTTTCGCGCTTAGTATCTGCTTCAAATCAAGTGCCAGTAGCGATGCCATGCAGATGGGCTCATCCTCGGGTTTGCTCGTGGAGCGGTTCTGCACTGCAGCCACGATCTTTTGGAACCTCGTGTCGAAGCGCGGCTCTTGTATGGTGCGAACTGACGGCAGTCGGTCTTCCATGGCTGTCAGCAGATGCATTCCGTATACAAGGTCCGTTTTCGCTTCTTGAACCGAGACCGCAAGTGGGGAGGGTTTGCGAGGAGTCGGCCTACTGGTGCTGAAAGGTTTGTACATGAAGCGTTTAGCATGTCCATGCCAATGAGCAGGTCCTTCTGCCATCTGAATGTATAGAGCACCACCAGGCCTTTCGTTTGCTGCTTCCTGGCCCGTGAGCGACGCTTCCTGGAGCGTCCAGAGCCGCTTGAGCCACCCACTGCACATAAGCCTAATGCTCAGTTCAAGGATGGATGCATTGCCAGATTCAAAGCGACACAATTCACGATCGATGACGAGTACACCCCTAGCTTCCGCGTAGGTTTGTGCCAACAGCCTGATGGCCAACTTTCGGTATTCTTTCAGCTCCGGGGCGACTGGGATGCAGAGCGTGTCCATCCAGATGGCTACCCTCATGGGTTTGCGCTTCTCCACCAGCTCAAATTTGCTGCATAGGTCCACGGCTAAGTCTCGCAGACGGCGGATGTGGCAGCTTGGGAGCGCATTTTGGGAAGGGTTGCCCAGCCCGTCGGCCCCTATGATATGTTAGAACCGAACAAAAGAGGACCACGGGAAACTCTTACAGACGTGGCTAAAGGCAATGTAGACGAGCCCGTCCTCGTCAACAATTGAAAGTTGCAAGTCGTCCGTAATGGCGATTTTAGGGATTGCGTTTCTTGCAAGAACGTCTCGCAGTTCAGCAGGTTTGACGGAGATAAAAGCACAGCTGCAGCTGCTGTCAATGTGGAGGGTGCTATATGAGCTTTCGTTGATCTGGTACGCCGTGCAGGTTGTATCGGTGCAGCTGTCATGGCCTTGAATCGCATAAGGACGGTCCAGATAGTAGGCAGCAGTCGAGACATCGAAGCTCTGTAGGATTTGCCACAGTTCACTTCTACACCAGCCTTTCTCGAGCAAGCGGTTGGCTGTGAATTTCATCATGCTCATCTGACCCTCTGGTTTCCAGTCCGCTACCGGATCCGCAACAGAGAGGCTCAGGTCGTCTTCCAGGTCAAGAAAAGGACTACGAGAGTGACAGAGAAGGGCGAGAGAGAGCATGCGGAGGAGTATCTGGATAGAGAAAAGGACTTCACACTGAGTCAGAGTATAGTCATGCTCATCTTCCCAGTCCGAGGCTCTAGTGATCATAAGTTGGATTTGCCTGATGATCGCATACAACTTCTCTTTTAATGCCCTACTTCCTGCGTGGCCCGATTCTTTCGAAGCAAAGTAAAGCCGCATAGGGAGACCGTTTCGACGAGCTGTGTCAAAGACGTCTGCAGAGAAATCGTCGGGGATGATCGGGAGGTTACAGACGGCATGAGCCTCCGCAAGCGCTCCAAAGAAAAGCCACGTCTGCAAAAATGCCAATTTCATAGAGCATGTAGCATTGCCGCCACCTACTCTAGATATACTGGGTGTATTCAGGCCGTAACAATGGGGTTGCCCTGTGTTGACCGCCACACAGACTCCAGGCGGACAGCGGCTTTTATGACAGTGGCGGTCGAGGCGGTGCACGCACCAGCCCGCCCGAGCCGGGAACTCCCAAAATTCGGAGAAGTCGAATTTCCCAAGTCGCGGCACTGTGAAGGGAATAAATTCTGGACGGCCGTCTTCAAGGTGGTAGGCGTGCTGGTATTGCATGATAAAGAGAAATTGGCCACCCGCGGAATACCCTTAAGTAGTTTTAGAAGAACAGATAAGAGTGCAAGAGTAAGGCACGCAGCGCGCTTAAAAATAACACTATGTTACGTACCCAAAGAGACAAGGGCTTTGAGACCTTGGGAGCCGCAGGTTCGGGCAGGACAAACAATCTCAAGACCAACAAGCCCCGTAGACGAAAGTGCCGCACGACGACCAAGACCCTGCAAGGGAAGTCAGAGGACACGGAAACCGGGCGCTAAGCACCAGACAACCAAAGTCCGCACGATCCGTCGCGCGCGTAAACGAACGACAAGAAGCGCACAGTTCAAGGGACACATACACATACCCCAAAAAAGTGGTGAAAATAAACTTCTTGTCCGGAAAACTCTACAATACTAGAGGACAAAGGCAATGGGGATGGACGTGTTACGACAAAGACGATAGGACTCGCTTTTCAAGATATCTTGCGGAACTGTTTACTGGCTCTTTACTCCTTAAGCGCCCATCTTGGACGGTAGAAGGGAATGAAGGAAGATTTAAGGCGAGAGAGGTGGTGTTGTTGCGGGAAAGCAGCGCACTGACGTAATTTGGTACCAGGCAGGCAAGTTGCGTTCAGTAAGTAAGGTGGCAGTGTCATTGAAAATTCGGTGCAGGGATTATACGACAGTCAATTGGGTGAGGTTTTTCGCAAGAATTTTCTTTGTGGCTGTGGACTGTGTAGTGTGTGGGCTGTCACATGCCACATCCTCGGTACTGTTCATCCCTGTGACGACCGTGCGAAGATGTGGGCAGGGTGGTTTTGTTCTTCAGTTGTTTAAGTAACTAATCGTCAAGATCTCATACCTGAAAAGGCATAGCGAGCCCACACATGCAATGTCTATCTATTGTACAATTTTACTTGTACAAAGAGGAGTGTGTGCGTGATTGCCCGCCCCATTAAAGAACTTTCGCCCTTACTCGCGTCCCACTTTCTCCGAGTCCGCAGCAGCGCCTTTTGTCCTCGGCGTTGAGAGCTAATTGTAAAGCTGAAGATCTTACTCACTTCTTTCAACTCTCTTGGATGGATCCAAAGATCAAGAAGTTGGTTTGTGACAGTTGTTGGCAAACTGTTTTTGCGAACGAGTCTTTTCTCGCCGCATGGGAAGCCCGCTTATCCCCAGATCGATCTACAACAGGCCCAGGGTTCTCATACACAACGCCATCATGGAAGCAGATGCAACACTCGATCAATTACATGTGTGAATGGTGCGACCTCATAGCAGAGGAGGTCGAATTCTACTATCAACACAAGAAAAAGACGAAAGATCCCCCCCCGCCAGATGAAACTTTCAATGTTCTCGTGCGCTTTATGATATCGACGAAGTCACTACTGGAACTGCAACTTGTTATTGAAAAGTCCTGGACGCCCAGGTACCCCGTTTACGCCAATGAAGGTATGTACATTTGAAGAAATTGCTGTCATCTTTCTGGACTAATCCTCGGCAAAAGATGACAACGCGTCGCCATTCATATCCGCACGCGAGGTTCTCCCAAAATTAGATTCCTTGGAAACCTATGAACTAGCCCGGCGCTGTATCGACGACTGTTTGCATCACGGTCATTGTCCACTACCAAAAGATGAATTGCTACCAACTCGGGTAATCGACTGCGATGGTCCCAGCGGCCCACGGCTCCTCATTCACGACGGTACGCATAAGGCAGAATACGTTGCCCTCAGCCATGTATGGGGAGAGCGACAGCCTCATGCACTACCACAAAAAACTTGAAAGAATACACCAAATACATTGACACCAGAAAAATCCCGAAGACAATTAGCGACGCAATTAAAGTAACTAGGAGCCTCGAACAACGCTATTTATGGGTTGACGCATTTTGCATCATCCAAGATGACAAAACAGACAAGCAAATTGAGATTCCTCGAATGCAATCAATATTTGGGAACGCATTTCTCACTATTGTAGCAGCGTCGTCGACCAAGGTCAGCGACGGGTTTCTCCAAGATAGGTGGTTGACCCATACACCCAGCACTCTTCCTTTCATTTGCCCCAGCGGTGGCACTGGGACCATGTTTGTGGGGGACCCGGGCACGGTTAGTTCCCAACCGGTGAACGAGCGAGCCTGGTGCTTAGAGGAACGTGTTCTTTCAACGCGAACGATAACATTCACAAGTCATACCGTTCAGTACGGGTGTAGAAGCATCCAGAAGAACATCAACAATTCTCCAAGATTCATGTCTGCCGATGATGGCTTCCCAAGGCTTCCAGACTGCATGTTCACCTCTACGGCGCCAGCGAGCCCTCTACAGCGCCAGCGAGCATCTATGCAAAGGGCACGGATGAGGAAATGCGTCGCGCCTGGCACAATATTCTTAGGCTATATACTCGACGCTCTCTTACAAAGCCACGAGATCGACTTCTTGCCATTGCCGGAGTAGCCAAACAATTCTATCTTTTCTGGTAAACGGATACATATATCGCCGGACTGTGGGCGTATGATCTTCTTAGGTGCCTTTCATGGAGAAAAAAATATGAGCAACAGATATCCCAGGCCCAGCAGGTATCGAGGTCCGTCATGGTCATGGGCTGCGGTTGATGGGGAGATAGAAGGAGAGTATGAGCTAGTTCACGGCAAGAAAAATTGGATTTGCACGGTTAGCCGTTGCGAGGCAACGCTGACACAAAAGGAAAACCTTTACGGCAATGTAGAGCGTGGGATCCTAGTCCTCGATACGATTGTCCGGAAGGTACTTTGGGACCCGGAGGAGTGCGAAGTGTTCGAAGTATCAAGAATCAAAGCCCAAACCATGGAAGGCCAGTCAGAGAAGGGTGAAATCGGGATTGCGGTACCTGATGCTCTTGAACCGGCTTCAGAGACTACATGTGAGGTTTTTTGTCGCCTTGGTGGAGGACACTAGTCAAACTCTTCGTGGAATTTTACTTGTTCTGGATGATCCTTCAACTGGAACTTATAGGCGAGTAGGAGACTTTACAGGGCCATACCTCAACAAGTCAATGTGGCTTGGGACGCTACGCCAAAGGATAATAATTGTATAATGTAATCACTTTCTCATTGAAAAAGTCGTACAGGCAGAGGTGACCTTGATTCCCAGCAGAGAGGTAGTATCTAAACATTCTCATTGTAACACTCGAAAGCGAAGATTGTTGGATCTGTAAGCGAACGCGCGGATTGAACGCATTAAATAGTTTTTGGAGATATCGGGCCTTTCTCGACATTTTTAAATTCCGCCCACCTTTGCTCCTCGTCAGGGCGCAATTTACCAGGAAAGAATGTATCGAGCATACTGCGACCAACCCCCGGATAGTCTTTCTCGACTGCGAAAAGCGTTTCCATGACCTTGGGCTCTCCGATTACCTTCTCAAAAGTGAACGGTATTCCAAATTCCTTAGGAGATCGCTTCCACCCTGCGGCAAAAATGTTCTGTAACATTCCGATGCCACCTACTGCGAGGAGAAACCATGTATTCTGTTGAATCCCAGAGGCAGTGATAAGTAAGAGGATCCAGAGCGCGGCAAGAACAACCATAGTGTTTCTGGTGGTATATGAGGCAACTGCGTCAGCGTTGGCGGGTCCTGCAGCTAAATCCTCGAGATCGAGCCCTTTGCCATTGCCTAATACCACGATAGCATGCTGGCTGCCATTTCCCCTGGTAAGAATGGTCTTTTTTCCAGAGTTCTGTCGGCACGCCCATTTCTCTTTAGACCATTGGCTAAGGCTGCCAGTGATAAATGAAAGAATAATCCCAGACGTGGTGATCAACAAAATACCCCAGTCTCCATATACGGCGCACGGTATAGCCGCGATGCCTAGCTGGACTACACAAGTTGCGAAGCCGGCGAAGTATATCAGGTCATAGCCTGGGCATCCCGGTGTTGCTGGTTCTGCCTTGTATATGGATACGCAGAGGCCTGCCCTTGATGGCCTCGGCACGTCCTTACCTGATCCGGCCTTCTTCTTTTCCTTCTTGCTTTTGTCTTCTCTCCATCTCTTTAACAACATGTCTTCCATCTTCTTATGAATAGGGCCCTCGGAGATGCCGCCGTCCATCCAGTATTCAAAGTCGCGCACAATACGACCTATGATCCAGCTCGTGTTGTCGCGAACGTAGCCTGAGCTGCCATTGATGACTTTGCATCCGCAATCGGGAGCAGGCATCAGCTTGTTCTCGCCAACAGCAGATACAACGGCTGCAACGGCATAGGCGACCCATCCTAAAAGCATGAGAAGAAATGCTTAGCCACGGAATCACTGCAAACGGCACAGGCGTCTTGGAAGGCTGGCATGGAGCTGGTTGAGTAGGTACCAAATGAAAATGCCACCGGCGTCACTCGAGAGCCGGTGAGCTGCGCGAGAGCACGCCCGATAACATCTCCACCAAGAATGAGTAGTGTTGAAAAGATGTCGCTTGGACGTTTCCACTGATCGGAGAACTCGCCCGAGGAAATACCGGGGTTGAAGTCACGGCGAAGAAGCTGGTCAAGCGGAGCCATAATGAGAGCGTACGGTGGCATGAGCGGGTGCGAGGAAGGGGAAATAACCTGAGGTGGAATAAAAGATAAGCGCTCGTCGCGCCGCTCGGAAATCCAGAATCTTACATGCATATGCACGCATGTCACTCACGTGATTTGGCGATAAGAAGCGACGTACTGGGGAACTGAAATAGTACAATGGATTCTTGAGTAAAAGCCTACATTTCAGCATTGTCGGAGGGTTGGGTCGAAGAGAAGGGCGGCAAAGGCGAAAAAAAGACTTCTTCGTCAATAGATCACGTGCGCTCGTAGGAGGTATTTCTTACGCAAAAGCGATTGAGCTTTTTTTTTTTTTGTTTGGCGCGAACGCGCATTATGAAAGAGCCTTAGAACATTTTTGCGCGCGGAAAACCCGGCTAGCAAAAGGCCGTGCAGCCTCAATCTTTTATGTAGGTACAGTAGATCCCGCCTTCCCGCCGCCCCACCGCACGTCCGCTGATCTATGAGGTCATCGGTACTGCAATAGAAAGTCACTTCAGAGCACGACCACAACCGCCAACCAAAATTATAAATCCGCACGATCCGTTCGTTGTCCGTTCGATAGATCACAGCTACATCCCCTAAACTTTATTACTCACCGTCCGCGCCTGGTCGGACGGCCGATCGGTGAATCTCAACGTTGATATACCCATTTTTTCAGCCTTTACACGATCTCCATAGTCTCCCACTTCAGGTCTAGTAGTTTCAGCGCTTCCCCTAACATGAAGCCGTAACAGTAGGTTTCCCCAATCAGCTCCCAGGTATTTCTTCCTTTATATAATAGCCTCACTATGTAAGGCACGTACGCTCCCGCAATCATCATAACCACATCACTTTTTTGAATCGTCCAAGGTCCAGTGCCCATATAGCCTTTCCTTGTAAGGAACAGTCGCCTGTAAAGGTAAAGTGATTCGAACATCTCTCGGTAGTAAGGGGGATTTAATATCTCGTTCATAGTAACATCGAACCTAGATCCTTATTAGCGCATTTGGTAGTATCTCTTTTCAATTCTTTCGCGAAAACGGTGCTTTTCATCGTCGAACATGGAAGCGAATTTTCGAATGATTTTACATATCCATTTTCCCTTCCCAATTTCCGCGCTGGTACCACCAAATCTTTTTCGAAGTAAAAGAATGTTGGCGGTCAGCTCTTCAGGTTTGAATAGGACGTCTTTTTCTGCCAATATAAGTCCAGAAGCGTAAGGCCCATAGAATAGCGTCTTATCAATTCTTCTAGCAATCCACTCCGTAAACTCCTCTTCGGCCATTACGATTGGGCCGTGCCGCCAGCTAACTAAAGAGTCTTCACCAGCCACTAACGTCTTCCGGAAAGCGGATATGATGGGCTCTTTTATCGGGTGATATAACTTCAATTTTCCGGGTTTACATTCACACCCCAAAACCACAGGGAGTAAAAAAAATCTCCAAGAAATGTTCTTGTGCGGGGTGTCGGTGCAATCACCTATATAATTATCGCGGATGCGGTCCAGTATAGCAGCCTTGACCTTCTATGACCTTCCAGCACGGCCGAAGCTGAATTCAATGGTTTCAGAATCAGCTGCTTTGAATGGCTCTCCTACTCGCAATTCCCGAAATGGTCTCAGCCGGATTTCTGCATTAAGGTCCGGGATCCATGACGGGAGTTCCGGGATGAGATTGGCATTTTCTACCAAATGTTTAGTAGGAGTATATGGGAACGCAGGATGATGAGTGTATCCGTAGCGAAGTTGGCCAACTAGGGATAATAAGTAAATCCCGGTAGAACCTTCGAGGAGTTGTTTAGCGCACTCCGCGTAAACATCGATGATTGGCTTTGCGTAGTCTGCTTCGCTCCTTATCCTGTCTTTGGGGAGCTGTGTGGTGGAGATTGAGAGGACGGAAAAAAATCTATCCTGTGGCTTTGTCGTTTTTCGCATGCGAATTTCCTCAATGGCCCGATGCAGATCGCAGCGATTGCCATACAAGAACTCCCTGCGAACGTTGTACGCCAACTGAAGTCCACACACAGCTTGCATAACTTTCCCGCTGAGCTGCCTGATTGTATCACCAAACCTGCCGCTACTCCCGAGATAATCAGCACCGGCGACTGTCACACTGTTTCTGTATGCGGTATCCGCATAAGCCCACCTTTCTCCCAACTCAAGTATAGGGATCGCAGAGGTTCCAAGCAGAAATACAATGTCTTTCGATAAAACTACCTCTTGTAATGTCCATACTCGCTCAAAGAATCCTCTTCCAGTGATGAGAAGCAAGCCGAAGAGCACAGGTGCTAACATGGCAAAAGAGATTAGTTTTTCTGACACTCCCCCGTGATCAATGATCGTGTTAAATGCTTTCCGCAATGTTTCCTTCTTTTTATTGTTGAATAAAGGTTGGATGAGTTTGGTAGCCATATAGGTTAGAGCTGATGACCTTCCCAGCCATACTACGACTGCTTGAGCGGAGCCAAATATAGTACCCATTATGTTAACCTGAGCGCTCTTTTCAGATTTTATCTTGGCCCGCCGTTTCTCACTGTTGCATCCGCCGTCTCCCTGGTCGATACATATTGCGTCAATCCAGAACGGATGCCCTCGGTTGTGCTGACGTAGTTGTAGCAGGGCATTATAAAGATTCTGATGGACTTTAAGTGTTTTGCCGTTGCAAATGATTGTCCGCATCCTTCCTGGGGTGGGTGCCTCATAGTCTCTGTCGATATGCCAAGTGTATGATAAAGCCTCGTATATGGGTTTTGTTTTGGGATCCACTTCCTTCACTGTGCAGTGGATGAGGAAGTTATTTTCCGCGGGTTGGATAGTGACGAGCCTGAAGAACTCATCGACTTTTCGGAGGCGCTTGTGTTGAAAAGGAGGGAGGAAAAACTCCTGTGTACATTCAGTCAAAGAGCGAGAAAGTTTTTCTGATAACGTCAAAGGTTTACCGCAAGAGTACCAGCAATGGCCCGCAAGAGTGCGTCGATATAGTACCACAGGAACTGAGCAGTTCCACGTACAACATATCGCAGCATTGTGGGTATTCGTCGGTTTCGAGGTTGACTATCGCTTGGTTATTGAATATTAAAAGGGCTTCAACGACATGGAACACTGGCAAAGCTTTTGAAGTGACACGTACTGGGGCTGGAGTAGTTTAGAGCTGAACTGAGCTGAGTTACAGCTGAAGCGGATTGCATGTAACTCGTATCCATGTACGCGCCCGAAAAGGAATATGCGTCGCAGCGACGACAGAGTTTGAGGCAGTGACTCGGATTCATTGGTGTTTTCTGCAGCCACAACCCTGCTTTTACTACGCCATGTGGATACTCTGTCCCGCTAAGTGATCAGCGCCTCGCCTGTAAGCGTTTGCACTACGTGATACAGTGGTTTGCATAATTGAATCTGTCCGTGTTCGCACTCTGAGCAGATGAGGCCAGAGCTCAGCTCCTCCTGGTGGCTGACGCCGAGATGCAGATGATAAATCCTACCAATCAAAAAAACTGTACGCACAACGCCACTTCTAGACTTTGCAAGACACAGCCCCTCCCAAGCGAGTCGCTCTTCTTCATCGCGCTTACATCCCTCACTACCCGGCCCCACCATTCATTCCCCACCATCACCAAACTCAGCATTAAGACCTGGCAAGGCGCCTCTTTACAATCTCTTCAACATCCTCCGGGTAGATCGGCGGTATCGGTGGTATCATCACTTAACCGAAAACGTCATCGTCATCCTCCGACATCGTGAGTTCGCGCCAGCAACCTATACGGGCACGTTGTCAGCAATCAAAGCAATGCAAAAGCCTAGAGAACAAATGCATTAGCCCGTCCGCGCGACGACAGAAGTGCCGACATGGACGATATGCCCACCCACCCAGGCTTTTGTCGCGTCGCGACGAGCAGCCTTAACTCTCGAAAGGGAAAATGACGATAACAAACGCTGCAACAAGCCAGCACGCCAGCCAGACAAAGATCTAGCACAGCAAACAAAGAGGCACTGATAAACGGACAGGACAGCCCAAACCCTAGCCAAAGGCCGCACCGAGAGCCTGAGACCGCCAAACGGCGGCAAGGGAGCTGCACCGGACGAGCGTAGAGACGTAGCGCGTCGAGTTGCCCCTCCATCCCTACAGACCCCAGTCCTTCCTGCAAAGGCCAGCGTGTGCGGCGTTCGGCGCGGGTAGGAGCTGGCGAGCTGGCCTGCGTGACGGGTCCGAGGATGAGTAAGAGCCCTGCTTGGCTGGATGGAGTGGTGCGGGCGTCGTTGTCGTTGTCGTGCCAGGGTTGATTGCTGGTTTTGTCTGTGTGATGGTGTTGTGGCTGGGAGCGGAGGGAGAGGTGGGCGGGGGTGGCTTTATAGGCGGCGGGGGGTGGGCGTGCACGGGCCTGGGTCGAGCTGTATTAAGCCTGAAGAGCATGGGAAGACTTAAACATAACGTGTGACAGTGCCCACTAGGTAGGCTGATCGAGCTTCCTCTCATGTTACCGGCTTGGGTGCGGCGTGCTTGCAAGCGGAGAGAAATGGGTGCGCATTTCGTGCATCTGATCTCAATCGGCGTTCAGCAAACAGCAATTGGCAAGCTCGTCCAAAATTGGATTCCTACCTCTGCTCCAAAGTTGTGATGGGAGCCTATATTGGAAATCAAAGAAAAAGAAGAGATTAGCGCCGTTCTCCGTTAGGAGTCATCTCGCTAGCAGAAAGCGTACATTGTAGAAGAGGATCGTTGGTGCCGCCCGCCGGGAGTGGCTGCCGCCGCCTCGAGCTTTCTGTGCAACACAATATAGAAACCTCAGGCAGAAGCGAGCAGATGTAGCCTCGATGCCTGCGTGCCCGTGAAACAACAAGGCTACGCGAAACCTCTACACTCGTGCTTCTCCTGCGCACGTATATCTATACCGCGGCATTATCGTCCTATCTCTCTAACGGCTTCTGCGGTCGGCGTAAGCAAAGCTTGTCCTTCGTCTCGCGCTCGTTACTCGCCTGGTTCGTTTCGGCGATGCCACCTAGCCATAGACTTTATGGCTCGGTCTGTTGCCATGCGGGTTGCAAACAGTGACGACGAATTCTCCCGCGCCTGAAATCACCAATATTTCGCGCGATTAACCGGGGCTGTCACTTCGCGCTGGACGCATGGTATGCTCGAATGGTAATAAATTGGTGTACTCTTGAAAGTGTATACTGGTTGGTCCGATTCACATTCCATTCGTTGTAACTTTGACGCGGACTGACGTCTCTAGCAGATGAAGTGATACATCCCCAATCCATAGCGTATTCAGTTGCATCTTCAGACCCTGGCTAATTCCTTTCCTCAATCCAAAATCCCAGCCCTCGTCAAGCCTTCCCAACAGCGCCTATGCCGGACGTGATGACTAATACTTAGCGCTCAGACGAGCAGGTGATTGGTGACCTGATTTGGGTTTCACGTTTAGTGTGAAGCTGGGCGTGAGGAGTTGGACGCCGCTTGTCCTCCTAAATTACTACTACCTATGGAGGTATATATGCTGCTATCTAAAAGAACACGTTTTCTCTTTAAGATCCT